CCCCCCCCCCCCAAAGTAGTAGTGGCCACAATACATCCATTGAATCTAATTACATCAGTAGGAAATCAATCAATTTATTTGGGGGGGGGGATAACATCAGGGAGTATTGGGATTGACAAATAAAACAAAAACACCTTCAACATGTCAGGGAACATAAGCACCGCTACTGCGTTCTGTTTTTTTTAAGAATTCTAATTACCATTATTATAATTATTATTATAGGGCTAATGATAAAAATCATAAAGCCTGCCATTTGAAATAAATAAAATAAATAATTATTATTATAATTAAGCTGTGCAAATCTACCACATCGGGAGAGAAAATTGTCAAAATGCACCCATTAAACACTAAAACCCGGGATGAAAGTGCACACTTTCCTACTGCGAGGCCATCGGCATGACCCGAATCGAAATAGAAAGCGAATGGTGGTAAAAAAAGATGCTAGTATTAGCGCTCCCTACCAATATGAACTTGGCATTTTAAAACTGGCCTGCTGCTGAACCTCTGGCTTCTAGAAGAGGTGGCAATGATGTGATTAATTCACTCAGAAGATTGGAGATAAATTCTCACACATTATTGGCATTGAGACACAACAGAACACTCACGATATTCCAATTAAGAAAAAAAAACACGATATCCGATTGCAGAGAGAGAATTCTGTGAAGATCTAATAAGAGAGAGCTTTACTTCAATTTATACCCCCCCCCACTCCTCCCTACTGGAGTGTTCCATTGCTTCCCGCCTTGAGGTACTCCTTACATTGAGAACATTTAAATTTTGCCCTGTTGGGGAGGCGTTATGAGCAAGTAAATACAAATAAGAGGGAAACGCATGAGCATAAGTAGGACATTTTTGATGCCCCCCCCCCCCGGGCCACACCCCCTCCCCCCCCCCCCCACCCGTACTTTGTTCATATTGATGTTAGCCCCCTACCCAATTTTACTTGCATTACCAAATCGAAAATCGCACTGTTGGATTGCTTGATTGAATTTGTGTTATCTACACGACTCTTCATCCAACATGGCCTAGATTTCAAGTAAAAAGAGACACCCTTGCATTCCAGAAGTCAGCTGTTAGCTTCAAGGCCATACAATGCCCAAATAAATGCCTACAGTGTTCTAGAAGGGCGTGAAAGTAGTAATTTACATGAAGAGGACGCAAAGAAAGCAACAAAAGTGATCATGGGGAGGCAGTTCGCAAGGTCAGTAAAATTGCTTCCAATTTAGTTAATTCCTTCAATAATAGTGGAATCACTTTAAAGGAAGTTAAAAAGTTAATGATAAGAACTTGCTAGATCCGTAACTTAAAAGATGGGAATGAAGTATCCACGTTATATTCAATCGGCTGAATTTGAACTGGATGCAATTCAGAGAAAGGAAATTTTGAAATGCGATACCGGTTCAATGCTAATGGAAATGCTTCCAAAGGCCATCTCCCTCAAAAAGCCCAAAGAAAGCCATATTAAATAATGTGCCTCCTCTATTCAAATAGTGTGTCAAACACAACCACGTATACTTCTCAAGGAAGTACGTGAGAAAAAAAAACAATTAAAGATGTGTGCAAATTTAGTAAAACTACAAAACTGACAAAAACTAGCGTCCATCACAGTTAATGTCTAATAATTGAATAATGAAATATTAATGTGTTGAGAATTTTGAGAGAACAAGACGTACATATATATGTATATATATGTATATATATATATACTTACCCCCCCCCCCCCCCCCCCCGATATCAACTTACGGGTTATTGGTGATGATATGTGTGATAACGGTATCAGCATCTTCAATAGCACCACAGGAGCCCAAGTTCAAATGGCGTAGATGTTGGCAAAGATTGGCCAAGTTGTGCAATGCCGCGTCGGCCACACGTGTTCGGTAGAGATTCAACCAACGAAGACCAATCAATCGACCCAGTGGGATAAACCCTCCACTAGTAATGGCTCGACACGATGAAAGATCAAGCTCTGTAATGCATTTATGGGATAGTGAGAGAATGGAAAAAAAAATATGCAAAATCTAACAATATTCCAATTTAAATTCGGCTTTATCATTTCAAAATATTGACTTTGCTACAAATTTACGCCTGAATCTCACAATATTAATGTAATTGGGGTGTGGGATAAACTTACCTCCACGTGGTGCACCCTGGGCAACGTATACTCATACGGCAAAAAAGTCTATTAACTGGCAGTTGACTTCTCACTTCAAACTACCATGACCCCCCCCCCCCCCCCCACTATATGTCATATTCGACCCCTACCACAGTACTCATCCTACCCTTTCTGAGCCTTTGTGTCTGTCTGTCTCTTTTGCATCTGTGAATCGCTCTTCTATTGCCCTCCCGAATTCTTCTCACTTTGATTTTCCTCCTCCCCTCTGTGAAGCCTGAAGTCAACTAAAGGGCTAATGACAACTATCAAAACGCCTGCCATTTGTTACAAATAAATACAAATGCAATTTTAAAGGGAATATGTAATATGAGCTCAAAACTATGTTAGATAAAAAATAATTGGTTTAATACGGGTAAATAAAAAAAACCATTGTGGGAAAATCGTTTGGACGAACCTTTAAGCTGGCCACAGGTATTGATAACATGCAAAAGACATTCATCGTTAACCATTTGACAAGAGGATAGTCGCAGAGTAACCAAATTCCGTCCAACATCAGCTAAGAATTTACAAAAACCGGAGGGAGATATCTGGAAGTAGGCAAAAGGAATTCAATCAATTCACTCTAAATATATTAATGACTTAATAATCTAATGTGTGACAGTGACAACATTTGAGTTCACGTTTAATATTCGTAAAAAGAGGACCAGTACTTTTCACGTTTCTTATTAAATTCGTGCACTTTCAGTGCACACATATCATATGAGAGGAAATCTGAATCGGTGACATTTAGTCTTTCCGAGCAGAAAATCAGTCAACAAAACAGAGTAGAATTATGATAACCTAAATGTAATCGAAATTGCCTTAAATCTAGTTATGTATATAATTAAGCAAGTGTGTCTAATTGAAAAAATAGATAATTAGTAATCGGCTTTTTGGTCTTCTAAGCCTTATTCGATTGACCCCTTAGGCTTGGAAATAAAAATTGAAAATCGATTTTATGTATTAGACTAATGACAAAGAAAAAAGCAAAAAAAATAACTCATACCAAATTAGGTCAATTAAAGAAGGATTAAATTGTAACAAATAAAATGTAAAATTAGGAAAAAAACCTCACAGAATGATAATTTCCACACCAAGAAACATCCAGGCGCCTTAATCGAGAGCTTGTAAATCCACCGGTCTCTTCTTCACCAGCATTCATCGAAGTGGTACGAATTCTCTCCGATGTGTTTGTACCAGAGACGAGAGTAGTATGATGCTCCAATCCTCTTCCATTAAAACTACAAAATTGAGCATATTGAGCTTGATCTCTTTCTGATCGACCGGAACGTAATTTACTTTCGGAGGAATGTCGACTACGAGGACGTCGAATACGTCTAGCAAGTACAGCCAGACTTCCATCCGTGATGGTAAACCACATTGACTGCAAATTGACATTTGACATTCGAGATAGGGTATCATCAGCAAGGTGATGAAAGGCTCGACAAACCGATGATATTCGACAAAGAGTCGGAAGATCAAGGTAACTGAAAATCTCTAAAAGGATATGGTACTAGATAATTTACTTGACTAAGACACGTCAATTGAACCTACTGGAAGACGCGAAAATTGATTTGATTGACTCTTAAAGGGATTATCACGAATTGAAAGCGTTGTTTGTCGCATTAGAGCTGATGAAGTTAAGGATGCCGGAAATCTTTCAATTGCTAGGGAGATTGGACAGAGGGTGGAGTTTTGAATTAAATCGATTTCCATAGAAGGCCTTCCGCAATCATCTTCATCAATTTCATCTAGGTAAGATGACTAAAAGCAGGAGATAAGCTGAAGTAGAAAATGATAAGCTTACACATTTTTTAGATGAAAGATGATTCAAACGCTGCTGAATATTACGCTCTTCAAGGATTGCAAGATACCATTCTAGTTCCTTTCTGGAGACCAACCCTCCTCTTCCTCCCATTTTCATACGAACTTTGGCCTCCTGTTCATTTATTGGGGCATAACCCTTTACTTGTACAGCATCAATTTGAGTATGATACACGCAGCGACGGACATTGAACTCAATTCTGATTATATCCGTCATTACAATGGGTATATTATACTGAAAGGACAATGATTACAAAAAAGAAAACTAACAAGAAGTGGTTCAAAAATTCTCGCTTTTCCCAATTTCGAGACTTTGACAGAATCAGCAGCGACAATTGATTTATCGAAATCGATAGCGGGAAGATTTGGTAGATTTTCATGAGATGGCAACTCCCACAACGTGGCCCAGTACATTCCACGAGTGTTGACTGGATTACCAGCAGGTTGATCTCTATAGCAAGCACGTATGGCAACCACTGCACCAGGGAAAAATGTTTCATAAATCTTCAATTTGACAACGATAAGGGGGCGCTCGAAAAAGATGTCAACATAATCGGTACTAGAATAGGTCTTGGGACCACCTGAGATGGGCTCCAGCGATCCCGGAAAAGATTCCCAACGAGTTCCATAATTAAGCTATAAAATACCAAAATAAACTCATTAAAAAGCTAATAATTACGAATGCACAAGAACGAGTTGAATCTTCGAAATTAGGATAAATAGTGGGCGGTCCACAAAGATTTTCAGCTACAAAGGCTGTTCTACCATCTTCGCCGTATTGTGAACTACAATCGATTACTTCTTTAGCAAATAGTTCCGTGTAAGCAAAATAACCAGAGCCCCACTCCATCCATAAATTATTGGATGAATTAGGTATGCCGCCTTTTTAAATAACCTTAAAACATCTGGAAAATTCTTCATTTGATCAATACAAACAAATTATAACAGTTTATAAGCTAATAAAAATTTTCGTATAAGTATATAATTTAATTTCAGAATAAAGAAGTTTTTGGATACATGGGCAAACAACTCGGATACTTTTTAGTCAAAAATCGTATCTTTGCCGCTGCTTCTGATTCAGTCGGGTACCTCTATCATTTGGTCTATCTTAGTTGTTGTGATGGAAGATATTATAAATGAATGCAGAGTCGCTTTTATTATTTCTGATGATACTTCTCAATGCGAAAAATTATGCAGGGATTGTGACGAATTTTTTGCTCAATTTTCAAAGGAGTATGATATTTTGTCTTATAATTTCTTTCAGTGACCACTCCCCCAATAACCATAGGTACTCTCCAGACATAAAATTCGTCCCTGATCAAAGTATGAACTTTTTATTTTATCATTTATCTTAGACTTCTATCGATGGCACCAATTATCTGAACAAAAAAAGCTTACATTATCGAATTCTACATCGAGTTATCAATCCTATCAGTCGGAGAGTATGTTGATTTACTTAAACTAAATTGTTTAGGTGTTGCTGAAAGTGTTCCGGACTTGGTTAATGAGATACCTATTCCTTCACCAACTGTTATTGACCGTTCCCGGAAGTCCGCTCTCACTATTGCTCTTGAGAAAACACAAATGAATGGAAAATCAATTAATAAATTCACCGACTTCGCTGTGTTTGACGGTCGATCTGCGGATGGGAGGAGTAATTGCGTCCCCCACTCATCCTCTTTTACCCTTCGACCATTCAATGTCTGCTTTTGGAACATATCTGGTATTCCTAAAACTTCCATCTCTCTACAACCCACAGAAAGTTGTACTGTCAGAGATTTTATCGGCTTGGCTCTTTGGCAATATTTCAATGAGAATCCATCTGATATTGCAACGTTTAATGAAAAACCGTCCCATCTTGAGCAGGATGCAAAGTAAGCTACCTTTCGTTTTTGTGTAAATAGTGAACAATGGGATTCGCATATTTCCTTTTTTCCTTTAAAGTTAAGTAAAACTGTCGAGTTCTTTGTTTAATGTTTCAGTGAAAATTTATACATGATGATATTGATCTGACTGTATTCTTATTAACAAAATTCACACTTATATTCTTGATTTGATCTTACTTCCAAATGGATTTGCCTGAATTGGCTTTTGTATCAAAGTTCAATCATCTTTGAATTATAGAGTGTTAGAATAGGTACACGTTGATCTGTTCTTTTATTTGTGATCACTTTTGTTCTTTCGTGCTTAAAGCATTGTTCAACGGCTGTCAGTCCTTTATTTCCAAACGCATTCTCATAACCTCAAGTAGTTGTTGGTCAATTTATCCAGGCTTATTAGAATAGGAAATCAAAATCGATCTCCTCTAAAGCATATATTTGATCATCGATTTGAAAGCTTGAGGTTCACATATTGAATTAGTTTACTTTGCTTTCATTGCATTCGGCATTGGTTTTCTTTTCGACTTCTTTATCATCTTTATCTTTTTATCACCTCTGTCTCCTCTCAATTCATTTGGCTGCCAATTCATTAGGTGAAATTTTGATAATGGCATTCATAGATATAGTTGTCTTGAAGTGTAACCATAGCTTATCTAACTTTTACATTTGAAAGTAATTTATCAATATTTTACTGTGAGTTCCCGGTTAGCTTTATGCGAAAAATAATTAAGAGCATCTAAGCATTGATCCCTGATATAAAGAGCAGTGTGTCTAGCAACTTCGATTGATTAATCGATTTGTGAGCAGAACGGGGGGGAGGGGACTGCAAACAAACAGGAGGTGACATCACTTTCGCACTTGTGGCTTATAAAATCCGATTGGTTCACGGTCATTGGTTAGTGATGGAACTGAATCATTTGATAATCGTCATCAATTTGTTTCCCTTTTCAGAGCCATAATCGAGCAGATAAAGGTCTATATGATGGAAACGTCAGATGAAGTGGAGGATCTGCCACCCTTCGAGCTGGGCGACTTGATCTACAAGTACGATTTTGAAGGATACGCTTTGAAGGAGAATGCTATTGTCGTGGCCACCACTGAACCCTCCATCGTCTTCACCGTGTAAGTCACGCCATTTTTCCATCAATTTTTGGTTGAGCTTGTGGAATTGCGTTCTTACTTTCGAATGTACATCAAATCTATTTCACTATTCGCATACTTATGGTATATTATGTATGGTATAGTAGCGTTTTTTTTCACTCTTTACTTATTCGATAATGCTCGTATTGCTTTGACGGGTCTCCTTTTTAATTTTGAGTAACAATTAATGCCAGTTTAGTATGTTTTTATTTAATCTTCTATTGTCCCAAATTTTAATTCTAAAATTTCATGGCACCTAAATCCCATGGAGTCTAAATGGTCACAACTTTTTTGCCCAGAGTAAACCAATAGTCGCACAATAACCCATTATTATTACTATGTCTACTAGTCTTATTGGGATTATGGTTAAAAATTTTGGTTTTCTTATTAAACGAATTATGTGGCGACTTATTTTAGCTGGTTACGACTGGAGATTTCGAAACTCACGCTCTAAATGTCATGGGAGGTCCTTTGCTCTGTTTAAATTGACTACTTAAATGTGCTGAAGGGGCGGTTTTATTATTTCTAAATTACCCTTTATATAACCCCATGCTATTTGTTTGTTTCATTGTGTGGAAAGTAAATTCATCTGCGATGAATTGGATGTGATACTTGATTGGCTGCCTCATCAATGCACCAAGTCCCTGGCTTTTATGTTTGTACTGCGCTGTGGAAATCTCCGACACTACCTACCTTGTAATTTTATGGGGAGGGAGACGAAAGCACCTTTTCTTTTAAACCTTTTAATTTTGCGCTTTCTCCTGTCTTAAGGGATGTTGAAGTGTTCGGAAAAGCATGCGGATTTCACCTTCACTTTCCCCCTGTCAACCAACTCAGACCTTAAAACACAGGTCAATGGTATTCTTCATTTCCAGGTCCCATAAATGCCAATCTCATCTTCCTCATTAGGTGTAATTTAGGCAGATCTCAATCTCCCGAATCCAACTTGTGCCATTTTGATTATTTCGAATGGCTTAGACTCGCTAGATTCCATCATCGGTTCGGAAAGTGAGCTCACTCTGGCTTTCAGTAGAACTCCCCCACTCTTTTTCTTCTTGGCATCCTTCACAACTTGCTGCAACATGTGTATAAATTCAAATTAATAAATGAGATTGAAGCCTACGCTGAATCCTCTGTCATTTTAATTTCATCTGATTAAGAATTGAAGATGTCGTAAATTCCATCTCTACCACGCTGTATGGTGGTAATCGGAAGACTCGACTAGAAACTCTGTAAATTAATCTGGAGGGAAAAATTGAGAGAGAGTAAAATGAGAGAATGAAGACAAGGCTTTCGAACATTATTTGAACTGCGTATTCATATGATTGCGTCATCTTCTAATGTCCCAAGATTCAGCCCTACAATTCGATTTTTCTTGACTCTTGACGTCCTTCATTTCCATAAACTGCTCAGAACTGCTTGATTAATGGATTCAGTTGAGTGGATGGTCATGGAAAATCTATTTCATCACAAGGCCAAATGCAGTTTTTTTCTCTCTTAGTACTGTAAAATGTCGATATTGAGTGTTGACACATTGTGGACTCTTCCTAGCATTTTTAGAAGATATCTTTTCCCTGGAATTGCATTTACATAGAAGGCGATGAATCTAAGGAGAGCCCTTTGTTCTATATGCCCCCCCCCCTTTCTCTCTCTCTTACCACATGACCAGATTTCGTTAAGAGGCTTTGACGGAAATCCAATTTTTACCAATATCCACCGCTCTTCCAGTTAACTCTCACTTATCAAAAAAGTGGAAATGTTTCTGCTTATACTTACTCTATACGTTCCATAGAATCTAGTGGATTGGTAATTTCTTCCCCAATTGCTGAATTAATTAGGCAAGCAGTTAATTTGCATTACATTCAATTAGGCATTGGAAATCGGATGGAAATAGTCTGTGTAAAACGTCCGAAACCCCGAGTTAGGGTAAAGGTGGGTTATTGATATAGGATCGCGATTACTATTTATTGATCGCTGATCGATAAAAAAATCTATAAGTTACAATTTAGACTCTCAGTGAACATGTGCCCACTGCAAGTGTTCAAACCTTTTATCCTTGATCTCACTAGGTAAAAAGTATGATGGAATAACAACTCAGCTGCTATGTCAAATTGAATGGGGTGTGCGATAGACGTACCTCCACGTGGTGCACCCTGGGCAGCGTATACTCATACGGCAAAAAAGTCTAGTAATCGGCAGTTGACTTCTAACTTCAAACCACCATCAACCCACTATATGTCATATTCGAATTCTTTCACAGTACTCACCTCACCTTTCTACCGTCGTCTTTGAAACACCCTTCTGTCCCCCCCCCCTCTCGACCTTTTTTCACGTTGATGTTCCTCCTCCTCTCTGTGAAGCCTGAAGGTAACTAAAAGGCTAATGATAACCACCAAAACGCCTGCCATTTGATATAAACAATAATGTCAAATTGATTATACCCTTCTTAGACCCCAGCTTTTAAAACTTGAAAATCAATTTCTATCTGCCGAGTTTATTAGTAAATTGCAAATTCCCCCAAACCCACAAGGAAAAGAGCTGGCAACATGTTTTCATAATTCCTAGAAACTATTGGCTATCTGTTTCACCGAATGTGCATGGACAATGATGAGTCCTGTGATGTCTGATTATATACTGACACATGGAGAATTTCAAAATATTTCGTTCATTGTCATGAGTCTCCATCTAGGGTGTTGTTACTCTTTCTCTCTCTTTTCAGTCATCTAGCCCAAGGCATTAGCCGCGTTCACCTCCCACCGTCAGCAACTCTGGAGTGCGTTGTGAACGACGTGCTGAATCGGCGAATGTTGCGTCAACATCAAGGCTACGCCTATCGCCTAGAGGAGTGGGTCGATCCTGACAAGAAGTCGACAGGAGGAGGAGAGGAGGCCGTGGTCGCTCGTAAACCCCTCGATCTCTCTATGACCATTGCTGAGTACACCAAAAACTACGCCAGTACTCACTTTGCTCTCATTCGAGAACACAGTACGTTCTCTTCTTTCTACTGTGTGTGTGTGTGTGTGCGTGCGTGCTTGTTTGACTAATCTTAAAGCCTGGGGAATGGTCGCTTTGCTTGAGCAAATCTTGTAGTGTTTCCTAATCCTGAATCCGCACGATTAATTGAATAATCGTTTGCTTGTGTCCTTATTGATTTTCTATTGATTGGGAAAGCTATTGCACCAATGGTCATTTTGCACTTTGTTCCATTACTAAGGTTTAATGTATCATTAATATTATGGGAACTCGGTAACCATGTACTAGCAGTGAATTTCATTGTTTTATGTTCTAAGGATCAAATTGAATGTTTAAGCCGCTGAACACATTGTCCTAACACTATATTGATTTCATTGACTACCAATGAACCCTGACATGTGCTTGCTAAATGCTATTTCTTGACGCATTTTTTTACATTACATAATGATTTTACTAAATTACATGGCCAATATCCCCTTTGCATAGATCTCTGTGTTAGTCCTACTTACTAGATATGGTTTGATAAACTCCGAATTATTTATTCATTTCAAATGGCAGGCGTTTTGATAGTTAATATTAGCTATTTAGCTGACTTCGGGCTTCACAGAGGAGGAGGAACATCA